ATTCACTCAGGTGAATGGATAATCACTGATAGGTAAGAGTGATGTCTAAGACAGAGGCTCAGTCAAAAGGTTCTGTGGGGGTAGAAAGATGGCTCAGCAGTTAAGAGCACTGGTTGCTCTTGCCGAGGACCCAGGTTTGAGTCCCAGCTCCCACATGATGGTTAACAACTGTCTGTAACTCCAGTTCCAAGGGAATCTGACGCCCTCTTCTGATCTCTGTGGGCACTACATGACACAGGTGCATTTACACACATGCAGGCAATGCACTCATACACATAAAAATATAATAGTAAGCTGGGCATGGTGACACATGCCTTTAATTCCAGCACTTGGGTTGCAGAGGCAGTCAAATCTCTGTGAGTTCGAGGCCCAGCCTGATCTACATAGTGAGTTCCAGGCCAGCTGGGGCTACAGGGAGACACTGTCTTTAAAAAAATACCAAAGAAAATAGTAAATAATGTTTTTTAAAGTTCTGTCAAATAGTCACACTGAATTCCACAGCCACATGCAGGTACCTACTAATGGGGACTTTGAGCTGTGACTGGCAGGAGTTCTGTCACTTCCTGCTCCCAGGCCTGTGCCAGCAGTGCCCTATCGTCCTTTGGCTGATGCCAGCCAAGGATGCCCTGAGGTTTAGGACCTTGAAAATTATGGTGACCTTGGCCAGACTTCGGCTATGAGGAGCTGGTACCCTCACAGAGCATTCTGTTGCAAAAAAAGGGAGAGTGACACTGTTTTAGAGGAGACTAAGCTGAGAGGCTGAGGAGAGGAGGAAAGGTCAGGTTCCCAAGGCTGCAGCCCACAGAGAACCCCTGGCCACAAGATCTGACAAGAGCCACCTATCATCTGACTGAGCTTCATCCTGGAGAGGGGATGCTCTGATGTATTTTCTAGAGTCTCACTATGATGCATTCTTGTTGAGATAGGATGAGAGCAGGGAGCTGCTGTGTTCACACAAACCAAGTGGCAGGACCTTGAGGACACACGGGGAGCCCAGGAACAGAGCAGGGTTCCAGCAAGACTTCACAACACCCTCCTGCCTAACTGCCACACCAGTGTCACCTTATCTTGGTGTGAATTAGCAGAGGATTACATCTAGGCCCAAGGAGTTCTCAATCATCTTGCCATCGATTGGGTTAAGGGCGATCCCATGAGTCTGGACCAGCTAACGGGACATCGGGGTACTGGAGGAGGGACTCTGAGAATGTTCTGGAAAAGAAGAGCTGATTTTTCTTTGTTGGAAGTCATCAGAGCTGGGTGGGATGACGGTGTTCAGGGCACTTCCTGGGAACCGGGGGGACCCAGCATTAGGATGAAGGTAATGATGAGGTAACAAGGCAGAGAGCAGGAAGGAACTTGCAGCAACTCACCCAAGGCCACTCCCAAAGCCCCAGATGAATAGTAAATAGCAAAATCAGAGAGGAAGTGGTGGCTGCCTGAGCCAAATGCCAGCATAGGGAGGCTAGGGCTGGGGGATGACCTCCAGAACTGGGAGGAGCAGGAGGGTCAAACTAGTCAAGGTCAGGAGTCAAATCTAAGACACTGTTATGGTGAATTCAAAATTACCTGCATATGAGCAAAGTAGAAACGTGAACAGAATGAGAACAGCTAAAAATATAATTGTTCCTACTGTTGAAGACATCGCACACTGTGGTTATAGACAGAGAAATCAAGGTGGGATTGAGCTGGAAGCTTCTTGCAAGCTGGTGCTCATAGTGTGGGAAAGTCTAGGCAGGCTGCTGGGGGAGGCCATACCCATTTGTAAGTCCCAATGATCTTAACCCAGCTGTGAACCCTGCATATTACAATACCAATCTGCTGGGCCAGATAGACTCACTGGTGTAATAGTGGTATGACTGTTTGAGGGGGTAACCAACCACTTTCTGATTGGATTTCAGGTCTGCTCTATGGGAGGAATGCATGCCTAGTACTGTAAATTTGGTCAAAAGCCTGTGGCTTCAGAGGCCACAGCCTTGGGGGAGAATGCACTACTGATGTTTTGCTAAATGGACACAGTCAATCTGCCTTCTAAATATTTATGTTTATACCTGTAGACTAATGCTGCTTTCAGCCTTGGTCAGAGAAGCTTCTTTTTAGAGTGGACAACAGTTAATGCAGAGACTCATGATTGGTCAAAGTGTGGAGAATAAATGACACCTATCTCACCCCATCCAAGGCCCACAGACTATGAGAAAGAGTGGTTGGAAAGACTGTAAAACTCAGATGATGAGGGGCAGTGCTATGAAATGCCATCTTCTGGATGTGATCTGGCTGTTGCAGTCGTGAACACACAACACATGAAAGGACATGAAAGTCGAGGGAGACTAGTTGGGAAGAAGAGGGTTAGCAAAAGTGGGAGAAAGATAAGAGAGGGTAATGGTGAGTGTGGTCACAATACACTATACTGTATGAAGTTATCAGAAGTAAGAAAGATTTCAAAATACAGTTGGAAAATAGGCTGGGGATGTAGCGTAGTTGGTGGAGTGATTTCCTGTCATGCAGGAGGAGGCTCTGGATTGGATCCCTGGCATCAAATAAAACTAGACATGATGATGGTGCACACCTGCAATCCCACCACTTAGGTGGTAGAGGCAGGAGGATGAGAAGTTCAAGGTGGTCCTCAGCTACATAATGAGTTCAAGGTCAGCCTGGGAAACACAAGACTCTGCCTTAAGAAATACACAAAGCAAAGGGAAGAATATCCATTTGACAAAAATGATGTTGGCATTTTTGTATATGGCATTCTGGTTATGTGCCTGTGTATATTTTCATTTTCTTATAAAAAGTAAAAAGTGGCACATGCCCTTTAATCCCAGCACTCTGGAGACAGAGGCAGGTGGATCTCTGTGAGTTCAAGACCAGCCTGGTCTACATAGTGAGTTCCAGACCAGCTGGGGCTACAGGAAGACCAAAAAAAAAAGTAAAATCCTCTATCTACTACTTGCAATCAGATGGTTTCAAATCATGACTTTTTTCTGTGCCATTAAACTATCCCATGATTTCATATTTCAAAGAAGAGAAAGAATATTTGAAAATCATACATGTATATAGAGATCAATCATATATAAATCGTACATAAACAATCTAATTAAAAAGGAGCTGGAGAGATGACCCAGTGGTTAAGAGCACTATGATTCTTCTGGAGGTCCCAAGTTCAGTTCCCAGTACCTATATCAAGTGACTCACAACTACCTGTAACTCTAACTCCAGGGGATCTGATGCCCTCTTCTGGCCTCCAAAGGCACTGCACTCATGTGCACAAAAATACATTCTCACACACATATAACTAAAAAAATTAAAATTAAAAGAACTTTTCTGTTGTTTCATGTTTTTGTTTTTGTTTTGATTTTGAGACAGAGTCTTACTACGTAGCGCCAGCTGGTCTGGAATTTACTGTGTAGACCATTCCAGGCTGGTCTTGATCTCACAGAGATTCATCAATCCTCCTGCTTCAGTCTCTTGAGTGCTGGGATCAAAGGTGTGTGCCACCATGCCTGGCACAAGAACTTCGTGTTTTAAAAAGGTTGGCAAAGGTCAGGAACAGACATTTCTCCAATGCTATGTGAATGTCCAGTAAGGACACGGAAAGATGCAACATCTCTAGTTACCAGAGGAACATAAATTAAAAGATAAGGGCCTATCACATCACACTTGTAGGACAGCTATAGTAGAGAACAAGAAAACAGAAAACAGCAAATGCTGATGAGGATGTGGAGCAATTGGAATATTTATATCTTGTTGGTAGAAATAGGAAATGATGCAGCCATTGGAAAACAGTACAGAGATTATCAAAAGCTTTCAAACAGAACTGCCACATGACCTGGCAGTCATTCTTCTGGGTGTCTGGATTAGTTGCTTTTCCCATTGCTGTGACAAAATACCTGACATAAACAACCTAAGGAGAGAAGGGTTTATTCTGACTCACAGTTTGATGGGACACAGTCCAACCTGGTGGCAAGAGCAGCCTAGCTGTGGTGGCAGTATCTTGAGGTGGTTGGTCACATTGCATCCTCAGGAAGGCAGGAGAGATGAGTGCTGATTCTCAGTACCCTTTCTCCTCTCCTCCTTTTTCATTCAGTTTGGACTCTAGCACATGGGATGGTGCTACCCACATGCAGAATGGATTTTCTCTTCTCAGTTAAACCCCTTTGGAAAAATTTTTATAGACATGCCTAGAGGTATGTCTCGTAGGTGATTCTGAACCCTGCCAAGTTGACTATCAAGATGAATCATCACAATGTATATTCAAAAGAATAGTGAACAGGCTCTCAAGGTGATATTGATGCGCTCACATTCATTGTAACATTATCTAAAAAAGCCAAGAAGTAAAAAAAACCAAAGTGCCCATGACTGGATGAGAGGATAAAGAAACTGTGGTATATCCGTATAGTGGAATAGTATTCAGCTTTTAAAATGAAGAAGTTCTGTCATATGCTAGAAGATAGATAAACCTTAAGGACATGATGCTGAAAGAAACCAATCCCAGAAGTACAAATACTACACGATTCCACTGACGTGCATTACAAAAATAGCCAAACATAGAAGCAAAAACTAAAGTGGTGGGAGCCAGGGCTGGGTGTGGTGGGGAATGGGAAGCTTGCTCCAAGATGAGAAGGTTCTGAAGAGCTGCTGCCTTTGCAATGTGCACATAACAGTTCTGTGCCACACACTGGAAACTTCATGAAAAGTGGAGAGTTCATGTTAAGGCCTTAAAAACAATATTTGTAACCAGGTGTGGTGGCATATGCCTTTAATTCCAGCACTTGAGGGGCAGAGGTAGGCGGATCTCTGTGAGGCTGAGACCAGACTGGTCTATATGGAGAGTTCCAGGCCAGCTAGGATATAGGGAAACCCCATCTTAAAAAAAAAAAAATTATTTTATGTGTGAATGCTTTGCCTGTATGTACATAAATCCACCACATGCATGCAATGCCCACAGAGGCCAGAAGAGGGTATTGGATTCCCTGTAATGGTGGTTACCCACCATGTGGGTACTGGGAACCAAATCTGGGTCTTCTGAAAGAGCAGCCAATGCTCTTAACTGTGGAGCCATCTCTCTAGCCCCTAGGCCTTTTAAAAGCCACAGTTAAAAGGAGAACTGCACGATAAGGGGCCCAGGTCTTACTGACTTCACCTTCCTATCTGGTGATGCTGGTACTTACTTTGATGAGCTACTCTTGGCCCAACTTCCTCTGTGCAGTTGCACAGGCGTGCCGGTGCATGGGGAAGAGCCAGGTGGGAAGAATCTCTGCTTTCTATGTTGCTGTCCCTGTGCTTACTTTGGGTTAAAACCAGCATAGGTCCATGTAGTCTGTAGCTACTCAAGGGTATACAGCCTTCTGTTCCAGCCCCAGATCAAAACAGACCTGCTGGAAAATGCAGCCCCAGCTCCTGTGGCTAAGTCATTGGTTTCTGTGTTCTCTCTACCCCAGACACTGGGCCTGTCAGGCAAGCTCTGATCCTCAGCTTTCCTGAGAATTGCATGCTGGGATTAGGGCTGATATTCAGGCCTATGCCACCCCACTGACTTTCCTATGACAGATCTATAGGATTAACAATCCAGTGACATCACTGGGTCCCCTCTGCTTCTCTGTGCTTCTGTCCCAGCCTCTACCAAGCCTTTCCAGCAGGGGACACGGCTGTCTGTATGCAGGTTGGGCTCCATCCCAGCAGCCCTGACCCTGAGCTGACCATGTGAGTGGGTGGGATGGGTGTCTGCTACCTGAAGAAGGAGCAGGGTGCGGCTACTGCAGATATGATGACATCTCAAGAGCTGTCCAAGCTGTGTCCCCAAGCTGTGCAGAGTGGAGATCATATCTGGTGAGCCCCTATCAACCCCAGTCACTGCCCTCTGAGTACTTGAAGGTATTTTTTTTTCACAGCCCCGATCTCCTCTGGAAATAGGGTAGGTCCAGGGTAGGAAGGCTCTGCTTATCCATCAAGTCTAAGGAGCCATGTCTTTGGTCAGAAGTTCAGAGTCCGAAGTCCTACAGAGAGACTGTCCCCATTGTTCTCCACAGCCCCTCTGAGACCGCTTCATCCAGAGAACGGCACCAGCTAAGATGATCAAGGCGGGCACCTTCACAAACACCAGGAGCACGTAGTGGGTCCTGCAAGAGGAACAAGGCCATCAAAGTCTCAAGCCCCTCCGTCTCCATCATGCCCCACACTGGGGGGCCAACAGCCAGCTCATCAGAGTCTGGGACTGCAGCCAGAAGCCCAATTGGAAGATCCCCAGGAACCTCTTCTGTGGTCCACCCAACCGTGAGGATTCCTTAGTGGCCTTAAGTGGTCCTAGCGGGGCCTGTCCCTCTCTTCCTAATTTTATCTTCTGAGATTTTTCTTTGTCTATAGTGTTTCTCAACTCGGTAGAAACATGGAAGTCAACTACATACAAGTTGCATTGGCTTGATGCTCGCTTAGGGCTCCAGGTCAGTAATCATGTCTGCCTCCCCTTTTCCCATGTTGGCACACAGACTGGGACCTTATCTCCCTTTGGGTCCCACAAGACCATCAGGACTTTTTGTTGACCAGTTGGCTAGGTGGTAATGGGCAGCTCTGTAGAACACGTTTCTGGTGGGGCTGGAATGGCACCATGGTGGGTGAGAAGTACCAGGGGCAGGGGTGGGCTTGGGGCCTTGAGTCTGGCTATGAAAAACACTGGTAAATGGCAACAGAGTGTGGGCAGGAATTCCCAGGGTTGGTTTCTCTATAGGCAGAGCCCATGTGGGGGCAGGAGAAGGACCTCAGGACTTACCTCTTATAGGCTCCAGAGGATCCAGAGAATTCCATACTTATGCTGTTGTTCATGGCTGGCCTGGCAGGTAGTTTAGACAAAGGCATGGTAGATTCTCCCACTAGACATAGGCAGAGTCAGCCACAGGTTATTGGCACAGATGGGGTGGGTTCATGCATGGTTCACAATGCCACCTCTACCCTGCTATCCCTCACCAGGACACCCCTTTCCCCTGGACTAGGAAGTCTTGTCTCTTCAAGTACAGTCCTTTGGCTTCTGTTGAACCATATGGCTCTCCACACAGTCATTTTCATGAGCTGTGACATGGATAGTTAGAAATTAAGAAGGATAGAGACTATAATTTATTTTGGAGGAGGGAGACATCACCGTCTCTGCTTGGGGCCTTGAGTCTGGCTATGAAAAACACTGGTAAATGGCAACAGAGTGTGGGCAGGAATTCCCAGGGTTGGTTTCTCTATAGGCAGAGCCCATGTGGGGGCAGGAGAAGGACCTCAGGACTTACCTCTTATAGGCTCCAGAGGATCCAGAGAATTCCATACTTATGCTGTTGTTCATGGCTGGCCTGGCAGGTAGTTTAGACAAAGGCATGGTAGATTCTCCCACTAGACATAGGCAGAGTCAGCCACAGGTTATTGGCACAGATGGGGTGGGTTCATGCATGGTTCACAATGCCACCTCCACCCTGCTATCCCTCACCAGGACACCCCTTTCCCCTGGACTAGGAAGTCTTATCTCTTCAAGTACAGTCCTTTGGCTTCTGTTGAACCATATGGCTCCCCACACAGTCATTTTCATGAGCTGTGACATGGATAGTTAGAAATTAAGAAGGATAGAGACTATAATTTATTTTGGAGGAGGGAGACATCACCGTCTCTTTCTAGTTGCTTTGGTTGATATGCTGCTTAGTTTCCGTCAACTTGACACAAACTAGAGTCACCTGGGAAGAGGGAGCCTCAACTGAAAAATTGTTGAGATCAGATTAGTCTGTGGCCATGTCTATGAGGCATTTTCTGAATTGCTACTTGATACAGGAGGGCCCAGCCCACAGTGGGCAGTACCATCCTTAGGCAGGTGGGGCTGGGCTGTATAAGAAAGGCAACTGAACAAGCCAGGGGAAGCGAGCCCCAGTAAGCAGCGTTCCTCCATGGTCTCTGCTTCAGTTCCTGCCTCCAGGTTCCTCCTTGAGCTACAGCCTTGGTTTCCCACGATGATGGATTGTAATCCATAAGCCCAATAAACCCTTTCCTTCCCCAAGTTATTTTTGGTTACGGTGTTTATCACAGCAACAAAGAAGTAAACTAGGATAGTTGGGAGCAAAAATCCCTGTCTTGTTCCATTCAAATTAGTACCTGAGTAAGGTTCAAGGACAGCAGATTCCAGAAACGGAATGTCTAGTAATTAAGGTGGCCAGGCACAGAGAGACCCCTAAAAGCTATGAGCAAGAGGACACATCCCAGTTAAATCACGAACTCCAGCTTTGAGGAATGAAATATTTCTGTGAGAAGATGTGAGGGTGACTTGTGGGCAGCTGGGTCATATATTCTTGAAGCCAGTTGGGCATGGCTCATCCTTGACCTGCAGTTTCCTCTCTGAAGTCCCAGGCTTCAATCATGCTTGGCAGCTAAGCAGGGCTCAGGGTAATTCCTAACAGTCCCCTGGGAGGCCATGACACCCATACAGGCTGGTGTCCCCATATCCCTCTGGCCAAGGACCCCTAAAGCTCCCCGAAGGGCACATTCTTTGGCTTCTCTGCCTTGCCTGCATGTCTTACTCAACTGCCTTTCTGTCCTCACAAGTCTTCTCAGCTTCCCCTCTGTGGTAGCCCTAAGGGAAGTCTGCTAGGGGTGACCCTTTCTGGACCCCACTTCCTCTCTCTGGTTCCAAACATAACATTCCATGGGTTAATTCCAAAGCCAGTGCTGTCGATTTGCATGTTACAGTCTAAGGAGCCATGTGGTTGGTGGGCTGAGGAAGGGCTCAGCATGATTATGCTGGATAGGAGTGGGGAGGGCTGCTTTTCAGGGACCATCAGTAGCTGTAGCTGGAAGACTCTGGAGTCCCTCAGTGAGGTCTGGGGTAGGGAGATGCCAGGAGAACCATGGAGGTCTCTGATAGGGATTTAATAGCTGAAGCTTTCTTCTCTCTTGAAAGCACCCACAGCTGTCACAAGCCTTCTGGGTCTTTTTTACCCCTTGCTCATTCTTTTGCAATCAGAGAAAGCAGAAAGGGGCACCCAGAAAGGACAGGCCCTGCAAAATGGACAGAGTCCCTCTGGTTTGGCCAGGCCTGTGATTCAACACTGGAACCATGTGGGCTTCCCTAGATCTCCACTGCCCCATGTAGTGACAGGTCTGGGCACAAGTTCCCAAAGACAGGTAACTTCTCAGACTGATGCCCTGAGACCCTCCCCCAGGCATCTGGGACCAGAGAATACTCCAGTGGGAGACTATGAGGCATCAGCTGGGCCACAGCTCATGGAGGGTGAAGTCTATACCGAACACTCTCCCCAGACCTGCCTATCCTGACATGCGTCAGCTAGATACCTTGTAGAGCCCTCAGGGGCTGTCATGGGTAGAGGTGTCAGACTGTTACTCTTCCTTATTTCTGTCATTCCCTGTTCCATCTGTCTGTCTGTCTTCTAGGCTCCTAGTCTTTTCCTTTCAGCATTGTCTGACCTGAGCATCAGGGCCTCATGGTGCAGATGAGAAAGTTCTTACCTGGGTCAACGGTCACTGTAACTCTGACCCCACGGTCAATTCCAGTTTTCTGAATACCACACCAGTAAGTGCCTGTGTCATTTTGCTCGAGCATCTCCATGGTCACTTGGAAGTTGTCTCTCTGATTGTCCCTGATGGACAGCCGGCCAATTGTCTTTTCTTTCTCCAAACTTGTGGTTTGAATGAGGATCCTGCATGTGTTCCAGGTTGTTCCTCGACACCACCACTTGTTGTAGTTCTTCCATCTCGGGCCGTAGCGACACTGCACTGTCACCGACCCCTGCTCTGGGCCTCTCACTGATGCTGGGCCCTGGATGGAGAGATAGCCTGGAAAACAGAGTCGTGGGATATAGCCTCTGCTGCCCCGAGCCAAGCCCATGTCTGAGGGACTAGATGAGAGTCCTGGCCACTCCAGCTACCCTGACCCATCTGACTTGTCATACCTACCTCCTCTGAGGCCCAGTTTTCCATTGTCCCCTGACTGACAGTGCCCTGGCCTGTTCAGACCTCATCTCTTCAGGTTTCCTGCAGCATTTGACCCTTCCAATTTCTGTCACCAGCTCTGGGTCCTCTAAACACTTTTCTCATCTCACCTCCTCCTTCTCTGACTACTTGACCCCCAAGACCTCAACTGATTCCTCTCTCCTTCCTCTCTCTTTGGATCCTGGAATAACCAGTGTTGTGCTGGTAAGTATTGAACAATATTCTGTATAGATTTAAAAAAAAATTTTGGCTTTGTAACATCTGCCGATTTCTGTGGTAAAAATGTTGCCATTGTGGCTGACGTCAGGGTATTAATGAGATGTCACTGAACACAGAGCTAAGCTGAGAGGTACCACACCGACCCTGATGAGCCAGTATGAACTAGTTCCACAGGATGCAGAGGAAACCCAGTAGGTCAGTCACTTTCCTCTTGGCTGTGACAAAAATGCCTGACAAGCAACTTAAGGAAGTGAGTGTTTATTTTGGCTTGTTATTTAAGGGGATACAGTCCATCACTGTGGAGGAAGGCATGGTGGTAGGGGCACATGGTGGCTGGCCACGTTGCATCAGTCAACTAGCAGAAGTGAGGACTGGTGCTCAGTTTGCTTTCTCCTTTTTATTAAGTCCAGGCACACAGCCCCATGGGATGGTGCCACCCACGTTCAGGGTGGGTCTTCCCTCCTCAGCTAAATGTCTCTGGAAACACTCTTACAGACATACCCAGAGACTTGTCTCTCCTATGCGATTCTATTTCTTTATTTTATTTTATGAGTGTATCACTGGCATGTGTGTAAGTGCATGCATATTGTGCTATGCCCATGGAGGTCAAGAGGTCATCGGACCCCCTAAAACTGGAGGTACGGATGGTTGTTAGCCAACATGTGGGTATTGGGAATCGAACCCAGGTCCTCTACAAGAGCAGCCAGTGAGCCATCTCTCCAGTCCCTCCTATATGATTCTAAATACAGTCAACTTTTGTTGTTGTTGCTGCTGTTTTGTTTGAGACAGGGTCTTACCATGTAACTTTGGCCAGCCTGGAACTCACCATGTAGACCGGACTGACCTTGCACTTAGAGATCTGCCTGCCTCTGCTTCCTGAGTGCTGGGAGCAAAGGTGTGTGCCACCACTCCAGGCCTAAACCCAGCCTTTTCCTCTTTACGTGCCCCTTGTGGAGGGAGTCCCTCCATTTCTACAATTCCAATAATCACCTATATCCCGGTGATTCCAAAATCTAGATTTGTACCTCAAATTCTCCCGCCACCATTTCCAAACACAGCAGATATCTCCCTTCCAATTGCACCCCAGTTTCAGGGTTTCCCCAGAACAGTCTGGCGCTTTGTCTCTCTGACAAGGGACAGAGTAACCAAAGCCTGACATAATTGAACAAGTCAAAGAACAGCTATGTGGAAAGTGTATCCTGCCATTCTGTGGGCTGATTGACTGTATCAAAGCTGACTAAATGCAGACAAGCTTTCCTTACAGTGAGACCTTGTTGTTTGGTCACATGGAAGTGGACAAAGGGCAGGGAACAATGGAAGCCTCTCTTGACCATCTCATGCCCTGAACTGGATAAGAAAGCCAGCCAGGGAGCCAGCATCCTCCATGGCTCCTGCTGTACGTCTTTGGATGCGAAATGACTTCCTCGCTCAGGGGTAGTGCTGGGTAGAAAAGCAAACAGGCCCGCCTTTGGGTTCCTGCCATGACTTCCCTCAATGATGGGTTGTAGTTTGCAAATGTAAGCCAAATAAACCCTGTTCTCCCCTAAGTTACTTCTGGTCAGGAAACTAGAACAGCAAGGAAACAGATTGTCTCCCTAGAGCCTCCAGAAGGAACTCAGCCTTCACTTTAGCCACTAAGGCCATTTCAGACTCTTTATCTTGGAACAGTAAGATGATGAAGTTATAGTCTGAGTTATTGAGTTTGCGGTCACTTGTTTACAGTAGCCATGGGAAACGCATATATGTGTGTGTGTGTGTGTGTGTGTGTGTGTGTGTGTGTGTATTCAGTCAGCAGAATAACCTCGTGAGTGCTGGGCACAGTCCACTAAGGAACCTAATTAGAGAACTTAGCATGGTCATTGATCTTCTCCTTCCCTCTGCAAATGATTGGTGTCCATTTCGGCCAACTCCACTCTGGAAATGCCCCTCAGAATTGCTTTCTTTGTTTTTGTTTGTTTGCTTTTTAAATATTTTATTTATTTTTATTTAATATGTATGGGTGTATTGCTTGCATGTAGATAGGTGTACCCATGTTGTGCAATGCCTGCGAAGGTCAGAAGAGGGTGTCGGATCCCCTGGAACTGGAGTTACAGATGGTTGTTAGCCTCCATGTGGGTGCTGGGAATTGAACCCAGTCCTCTTCGAGAGCAGTCAGTGCTCTTAACCACTGAGCCATCTCTCCAGCCCCAAAATTACTTTCTTTGTATCTCTGCTGTCACAGTTCATGGGAACAGCATGACAGAACAGAAACAGTGTGAGCTTTGCACTTTTCAGGCAGAAAGATATGTCTGCCATGGAGTTATTGTGAAACCCTGGGTGAGTTACTTAATCTCCATGTGCTGGATAGCTTTAGTGTCAACTTGACACACCTGGGTTGAGGGAGGTTCAATTGAGGAATCACCTCCATTTCTGGCCTGTAGCCATGTCTGTGGGGCATCTTCTTGATTATTGAGTGATATGGGAGGGCCCAGCCCACTGTGGGTGGTACCATCCCAGGGCAGGTGGGCCTGTGTTGCATAAGAAAGCAGGCTGAGCAGGAACCAGGGGAGCAAGACAGTAAGCAGTGTCCCTCCATGGCCTGTGCTCCAGCTCCTGCTTCCAGGTTCCTGCCCTGAGTTCCTACCTTGGGCTCTCTGATGAACTGTAACCTGGGAGATATGAAACAAAATAAACCCTTTCTTCCCCAAGTTGGCATTGGTCAGAGTGTTTTGGCACAGCAATGGAGAAACAGACTGTAACACTGTGAGCTTTGCTTCCTTACTTACGGAGTATCCTTGCTACTTTCTGCCTTATACTGGTTGCTGTAAGACTTGGAGATGTGTCTATTAATACCTGACATTTGGAGGGCTGTTTTGCCAGTGATAGCCCTCATTTGGTACCCGGATCACCAAAGTAGCATTCAGAGAAGTCCAGAGCACCCTTCCTCAGTCTCTCCGTGTTGCTGCTTGAGTTTTGAACTGAGACTGTCTCCCTGGCTGCACTGAGCACTTCAGCCACCTCCTGCTGCGTCAGTAGCCCTCAAGCTGGCTCCCATTATTCACCTGGTGCCATTCCTTGTTCTTCTCTCCTTGACTCTAGACTCCTCCACCTCCATTTTTCTCTTTCCCTGACCCCAGTGTGCCTTCCCAGGCTTGTGGACTGAGCCTTGCCTAGAAAGCCCTTCTATGGCCACCTTCCAGACCTTCTCTAGGCCCAGGCCTCTTGCCAGTCTCCCGAGAGCTGCCTCCTCCTCCTGTTCTTCCCCTGCTCCTTCATGTGGAGCCCAGGACCATGCTGCTGTTTTACTCTGAGTGCCCATCTCTTCCTGTCTTTCTCTCCGGTGCTCACTGCCAAAGCACGGAGATTCTGTGTTTGTTTTCCCGCCTCTTCCCACAAACAGCCCCCAGGGTCTTGCTCAGCCTCTGGTTCATGGTGTGTACCAATAAAGTTAAGGATTGTTTTGTAAAGAACCTCACAACCTAGTCACAGACACAATCGTTTCAGTTCTAGGAGTGATGCATGGGCATTAGCCTCGGTACTGATGTAACAGTAAACATCCAAAAACTCAAACACCATCAAAGGGAATTAGACTGATGAGTTCTGGCACAGCAATAGCATAGTTTAAAAGTAAAAAGCAACCTCCAAGCAATGACAGAAAAGATGCTCAAGATACATTTTTACAAAGTTTTTTTTTATATAAAAAGTCACCTAACAGCATATGATTCCATTCCTGTACTTTTTCTTTTCTTCTTTCTTTTCTTTTTCTCTTTTTTTTTTTTTGGTCTTTTTGAGACAGGGTCTCCCCGGCCTGGAACTCACTATATAGATCAGGCTGACCTTGAACACAGAACACACAGAGATCTGCCTGTCTCTGCCTCCCCAGTGCTGGGATTAAAGGTGTGTGCCTCCACGCCCGGCTGGTGTTTTAAATGTTTAACAGTCATTACCACTAAGATCAGATTTGGAGGGGGAAATTTCTCTTTTTAAATCATACATTTCTATTGTGCTAAAATACATGCAATGCAATTAACTGATAATAAGGTTAAAAAAATCTTTAAAATAGCACAGGGGCCAATTAGGGGGAGATTGACTAACATAGCAACTTCGTAAATTAAAGCCACAGGCGGAAGTCAGCAGACAGGGTCATTATCTTTCTCAAAAGAAAAATAACTCAGCAGCAGGAGGAAGGTAGGGGTCAGTAGAAACTGTACTAACCAGTAATTGCAAAGAACAGCAAAAACCTGTTGCTTTGGAAACAGAAGATCCACCAACCCAGGGTCTTTAGTTGACTGGGACTTGTAGAACACTCATGGTGATCAGACCCATTTCCTAGGACTGTGTCCAGGATTCATCTACACGGATGGTGGTGGATGAGCTAGTGATCAGGCCTATGCATGTGACCAAGAGTTGGTTTGAGAGAAGGAAGGGGTGGAGGAGATGGGCCAGCAATTAGCCACAAGCAGAACTCTGGGGACAGAGCAAAGGGCTTTCAAAACAAATGGAATTTGACCATAAACTGTACTTTTGTGTAAATTCTTCTGAAAGTCTGCTACTTGGGCAAAACTCTTCTATGAACAGTGTCATTGTGTGCCATTTTGTGTCACCGTGTGTGTGTGTGTGTGTGAGAGAGAGAGAGAGAGAGAGAGAGAGAGAGAGAGAGAGAATAGAGTCGTGCCTGTATGCAGATATGTGCCTTTGAGTCTGCTGTGTGAATGTTGATGTGTGGGTGAGCAGTGTGCAAGCCACAGAGTAGCTCACCCCTATCCTGCATAGCCTCAGGGAGAGCCGGATGATGGGATTAAGAGAGGGGGAGGCCAGGATCTTAGAACTCAGGTGCAAGTTGGGTGAGACAGATATTCCCAATTGCCTGTCATCATTTTACTTTTTCCTCACACTAGCCAGCATCTGGGTGTCCTGGCCCTGAGACCTCCTTCTATGTGGTTGTGCCATCCTTTCTCAGCCTGAACCCCTTTGCCCAAGCTGTGCCCTCTCCTTGGAGTGCTGTCTCTGCTTGCTGCAAAGGAGCATCCTGAGGCAGGCTTTCTGTAGCTCCCTCAGCAGGAGCAGTATCCTCTTCTGAACCCTCCTCTGTCTGCATTTAGGTCTGGCGCGTATGTCTCATCCATCAGACCCTCTGGAGCCTTCCTTAATGACCATCCCCAGTTCTCCATTCCCTGATGCATGCCTGGCAGAGTAAAAAACCTGAAGTCCTCTTGATGAATGAAGTGAAAAAACCACCCCTCATTTCCCTGGAGGTGACAGTTCTTGAACCTGGAACAGAGCCCTCTGCCTCCTGCTCTGCTCCCGCAGTCCCAAGTCCCCAGCTTTGCCACACTTACCAGGGAAGCTGAGAAGGAGCAGAGCAGGGGACAGCCACATGGTCCTGACTCTGTGCTCCTCACCCCTCGGACCTACAGCCAGCAGCAAACACAAACCTCAGCTGGACACTCGAAGCGAAGCACCGCGTGAGCCCAGGCTGGCTCCTTCTGTTTGTCTAGGTCGCCTTTGAACATCTTACCCATTTACTTCCTTTTATAGAGTGGGTATTTCCTGCTTTGACTTATTCAACAGAAGAGGCGTCAACTCTTGGCAGAGCTGGGTCATACACAGGTCAAGAGAGTGCTCACTCAGCAGGAAAGGAAAGGCAGAGGAGACAAGCTGGCAGACCAGTTGTGGGGACATCTGGCCTATCAGGCCTTGGGTCAAGGGGTAGAGCACTCTGGGTATTAAATTCAGGTGTGATCTACACCACACTGGAGTTGTGGACAGTTGTTAGTTGCCATGTGGGTGCTGGAATTCGAACCCAAGTCTTCTGCAAAAGCAGCCAGTGCTCTTAATCACTGAGCCATCTCTCCAGCCTGAGACAACATAATTTTTTTAAAAATACTAAAATAAAATATTTTTTACTTGCATGTCAATGTTTATTGCAGCAACCATTCACAACAGCGAAGCTATGGAACCAGCCTAGGTCTCCAACAACAGAGGATAAAGAAAATATGGTGCACAGACACAATGCAAAAGCAGCCAGTGCTCTTAATCACTGAGCCATCTCTCCAGCCTGAGACAACATAATTTTTTTAAAAATACTAAAATAAAATATTTTTTACTTGCATGTCAATGTTTATTGCAGCAACCATTCACAACAGCGAAGCTATGGAACCAGCCTAGGTCTCCAACAACAGAGGATAAAGAAAATATAGTGCACAGACACAATGGAAAATCTTCAGCCATAAAGAAGAATGAAGTTATACAATTTGCAGGAAAAGGGATAAAACTAGAGATAATCAAATTAAACAAATTAAGCCCGTTTCCAAAGACACTATTTTCTCTCTGTGATTCCTAGATTGTAGGTAGATACATGAACTAATGTATACATATATGACCTAAAAAGATACTATTTAATAATCATTTCTCTTTTCTGTGATGCTGAAGGTCAAACCCTGGACCTTGCATATGTTAGACAAGCCCTCTACCACTCAGCCGTACTTCCAAACTAATGATATTATTAAACATTTTTAAAGACTTATTTATTCCTATTTATGTGTATTTGTGCCTGTGTGAGTTTATGTGCACCACATGTATGCAGGTGCCTGCAGAGACCAGAGGGAGTCAGATTCCCCTGGAGCTGGAGTTACAGAAGGTTGTTAACCCCCGTGTGGGTGTTGGGAACTGAACCTGGGTCCTCTAGAAGAGTAGTAAATGCTCTTAATCACCAAGTCATCTCTCCAGGTAAATATATCATTTAAAATAAAAATAAAAGATAAGATATACAGAAGAAAATTTAACAAGCATATAATCAGGTTTCAAGAAGGAAATAGTTTGATATTAAAAGACATTTTATTTAATTTTTTTCTCTGTGTGTGTGGTGAGAGGGAGAGAGAAAGAGAGAGGGAAGGGGTGTGTGTGAATGTATGAGCACGCACCACAGTGCACATGTGTAAGTCAGAGATAACTTTTGGGAGTTGTTTCTCTCCTTCTACCATGTGAGTTCTGGGACTCAAACTCAGGTCACCAGACTTGTACAGCAACTGCCTTTACTCACCGAACCACCTCATCTGCCCTTAAATGACATTTTAAGCTCTTCTTTTTATTTTATTTTATGTGTACGAGTGTATTGCCTGCATGTGTGTAAGTACACCTATGTGCAATGCCCACGGAAGTCAGAAGAAGGCATCGGATCCCCTGGAACTGAAATTGTGGACGGTTGTAAACTGCCATGTGGGTGCTGGGAATCGAACCTGGGTCCTCTGCAAGAGTAGTCAGTGCTCTTAACCACTGAGCCATCGCTCCAGCTACTTAAATGACATTTTAAAAGTTGAAAAATAATTGGAGCTGCAGTCCATGTGCATGGACATGGAAGTTATCCTAAAGATCCTTTCGATATGCTCACACTCAAAGTCCCAGCAGATTCGTTTTCTTTTTAGGAACTGGCCAGTTCTCAGATGTGAAGACTTGGCTAGTGTTTACAAAGACTTTCTGATATCAAAAAAGAGTGTGCAGTGATATGGCCCACCTTAAATCAAGACTCTAAAGTAAATGTGTAACAATTAAAACTACAGTGTGCTGGTTCAAAGACACTCAATTAGACAAACTTCACAGAAAAAAAATCCAAGCACATCAGAAATCAATATATGCCCCAGAGTGGCATTAAAGAGCAAGGAGGAAGTGCTTTATTAAGTGGAAGAAAGGAAAATGAGTTACTAGTCCAGCCTTGACACAGAAATCAGTTAAAAGTAGGTCAGGAACTTACTCATAAAAGGGAAATTTTAAAAAACTGTTTACAGGGCTGGAAAGACAGCTCAGTGGTTAAAGATAATCGCTGCATAAGCCTAGCAACCAGAATTCGATTCCCAGAACCCACATAAAGGTGGAAGGAGAGAACCAACTCCACAAAATTGTTCTCGAACCTCCACATGCGCGCTGTGGCATGCACAAGCCTACACATACACACACTATGCACATACACAATAATAACAAAATTTTTGTTTTATTGAGACAGGGTCTCCCTGTAGCCCCAGCTGACCTGGAACTCACTATGTAGACCACGCTGGCCTTCATCTCACAGAGATCCACCTACCTCTTGCCTCTGGAGTACTGGAATTAAAGGCAGGTACCACCATGCCTGGCTAAATGAAATTTTTTTAACAAAAGCTTTTATAAGAAAATACAGGAAACAATTCAATTTTTAGGTGTGAGTATCTTCTTCCTCCTGTTCCTCCTCCTCCTCCTCTTCTTCCTCTTCCTCTTCCTCCTCTTCCTCCTCCACTTCCTCCTCCTCCTCTTCCTCCTCCTCCTCTTCCTCCTCCACTTCTTCCTCCTCCTCCACTTCCTCTTCCTCCTCCTCCTCCTCTTCCTCCTCCACTTCTTCCTCCTCCTCCACTTCCTCTTCCTCCTCCTCTTCCCCCCCCTCCTCCTCCACTTCCTCCTCCTCCTCCTCCCCCTCCTTCTTCTTTCTGAGACAGACTCTCAAGTAGCCCAGGCTGGCCTGAAACTTACTACATAGCTGAGGATGACTTTAAACTCCAGATCCTCTTGTTTCTACCTCCCAAGTGCTGGGATGGCAGGCATGTGCCACCACACTGGTATCAATGATTTCTTAAGTGAGAGGCAAAGGCATAATCCACAATGAAAAATACTAATTTGTTCATTATAATTAAAAAGCATTTCTTGGGGCTGGAGAAATGGCTTAGCAGTTTAAAGCACTGGCTGCTTTTCCAGAGGACCTGTGTTCAGTTCCCAGCACCCACACGGTGGCTAACAATGTTTGTAACTCTAGTTCCAGGGAATCTAGTGCCCTCTTCTAGCCTCTGCAAGCATTGCACAACACAGGTGTGCTTAAATACACAAACAAGCTGGGCATGGTGGTATATGCTTGTAATCCTAGCCATCCATCTTGCATTTTGCCTCAAAATAGAGACAGAGAAGCAGCGAGAGACAGAGGAGGAGGGAAAAGAGGAGGAAGAAGGGAGGGAGGGAAGGAAAAAGTGAAGAGGCATCAAAAATGTTTATCCGCAGAAGGGAAAACACACAGCCGTGTTCACGCAGAGACAGAGGGCAACACAAATGACATGTCAGCACAGCACAGCACATCGGTGTGTGTGTGAATCTCAAAGGTACAATGTCAAATGATAGAATCACATGACTTAGGAGTGAAACATGCATGCTGTGCATGGCACATACCTGTAATCCCAGAACTAGGGAGGCAGAGGATGAGTTAGAAAGCAGTCTGGGTTACACAGAGAGACCCTGTCAAGGAAAGAGAAAGGGAAGATGGAGGGAGGGAAGAAGGAGAAAGGAGAGGGAGGGGAGAGAGAGAGAGAGAGAGAGAGAGAGAGAGAGAGAGAGAGAGAACTGGGGTGCATCTCCATATCTCCATGGCCAAGTGCTTGCTTAGCATGTGTCAGGCTTTGGGTTTTCTCCCTAGTACTGAGGGGGGAAATGTAACTCGGTTTACATAAAATTCAGATACAGAAAAGCTAAACAATGTACTCCTGGTAGTCTGTGCGTATGTGCGTGAGAAACCCTTAGTGCAAGGGAATGATGGCAGATGTTTCACTCAGGATTCAATCGAGTTGAGGATTCAGTTCTCTCTGAGGTGGGCAGAAAGCAGGCACATGAGATCAGAAAGGCTCATAATATTAACCATGTTCTATTAAGCCAGAAAAGGGCCAAGGGCTGGGCGTATCCCTGGTTTAAAGTATATGCGTTTATTGGACATGCTGTCAAATTGCCTTCTAAATATTTATGCTTATAACCATAGATGAACAATGCCATCAACCATGGCCAGGGACCCTTCTGTCTGCCATGGGCAACAGTCAATGCAGAGACCTAGAACTTGTCAGAGTGCTGAGAATAAATGACTATTGAGCCATAAATGGGGCATCTATATCCCACCCACCCCCAAGGCTCAGGGAACATCCTGGGAGAAGGGGAGGAGAGACTGTAAGAGCTGGAGGATGGGGAGGAGTGCTGTGCAATACTGTCTTCTGACATGACATGATGGTTGCCCTCAGGAACCTGCTGCACAAGACCTGCACAAGGTCAGACCAACATCAGTCAGCATTCCATCAGGCAGCTCTAATTAGACTCCAAGTTGCCAATAAACGAGGAGAGACATGAAGTGGGGATCAGGACATGATATGGGTACTTGGGAGGAATGGAGGCAATTGAGGATAGACATGATCAAGATGTATTATTTACATGTATGAAATTGTCAAAGAACAAAGGATAGCCTATTTTAAAAAATATTTTATTATTTTTATTTTAGGTACATGAGTGTATTCCCTGCATGTATGTGAATGTACCGTGTCATGCAATGCCATGGAAGTCAGAAGAGGGCATCAGATTCTCCAGAACTGGAGTTAAGGATGGTTCGTAGCTGCCATGTGGGTACTGGGAATCGAACCCGGGTCCTCTGCAAGAGCAGTCAGTGCTCTTAACCGCTGAGCCATCTCTCTAGCCCCAGGATAGTCTATTTTTAAAGTGCCTTTTTATTAGGTACATTCTTTTATGTGTTTGATACAGTACAAAGAAGTTTCTCAGGTATTTCTAGAACGTTCAGAGTATTCTAAAAGAAACACAAATTTTCTGGCCATCCTCATCCATCAGAAAGGCTGTGTCCCAGGACAGATATTACTGGTTCTCATAATCTGCCTGATTCTGCCTCCCCCGAGGGTATCTCTGAGGTCTGTCCACCCACAGGATGGCACTGAGCATGCTCAGGAGCAGGGGAAACTCCAAGAAGACCAGGAGCCTGAAGTAGATGCTGCTCAGCAGGGACCTGTGGGGGACATGGTGACAAGCTCAATTCCCAGGAGGCGCTGCTGTCCTGTGTCGTGCTCCTGTCTCTTTCACCCAGGTCCTGTGTCCACAGTGATCCATGAAGGGACCAAGTGGGGCAAGACAGTCTTACATGAATGACCAGTGTGACTGAAAGCCTAAAAAGTGTCCCTGAATTGTGAACCTGACCACTGTCTCCAGACTTCTGGGTACCTGGCTACCCCAACCCACAGACCATTACTCCCATGGACTCTAGTCAGACAGTGACCCCCACTACTGTCTCCCCTTATTTCTTTCTAGATGATTGTATTTATTTTAATTAATTCATCTTGTGTGTGTTTGTGTGTGTGTGTGTGTGTGTGTGTGTGTGTGTATGTGTGTGTGTAGAGGTGTGCATATGAACACAGAGACCAGAGAACAACTTCAGGCATCTTTCCTCAGGAGCCATCCACTTTGGTTTTTGAGACAAGGTCTCTCACTGGCCTGAGCTTGCCAAGTAGGCTGGGAGGCTGGCCGGTGAGCCTCAGGGATCTGCCTGTCTCCACCTCCACAGAACTGGAATTTCAAGGGTGTGTCACTAAATTCAGCTGTCTCTTTAGGCCCTGGGTGCTTTTACTTGGTCCCCGTGCGGATCGACCCAGCAGAACTCCATCCCAACAGGACAATGTCTGGGGGACACTGCTGGGTCCCTATTCAGCAAAGAGTACCTGACACTCACGGGACTACCCTAGGTTAACGTAGTCTTGGAGAATACAGGAGGAGCCCAGACAAGGGAAACCCAAGTCCCTCCCCCTCCCCCTCTTAGCATGCCCCTATCTAGGCATAGTCCAGACAGAAGGCCTTACCGAGGCTGTGGGCTGGGTTCTGAAGTGTCCTCTGTGGTATCACTAGGCTGGGTGTTCACTGATGGGGACGTGGAAGGCTCCTGAGTGCTTGTGTTGTTTCCAGGGCTGGAGTCTGCATTTGGCTCTGAGGGTGAAACACAAGACAGGCCCAGTGACCTCCATTCAGTCTCTCTCACTGGCCATGTGTGGCTCTGCTTCACACAGCAGGTTGTAGGGGCATGATGGACAGCTGTCCTGCATCCAACAAGCTCCAGTGGCCACACCAAGACCTGGCCAGGGCTGCCCCTCCCTGGCCCCATATCAAGGTGCACTGTGGCTGGGTGGCACTCTCAGACGCAAGACCTGTCTTCCTAAGCAGGAGGGTTTGAGTGTCAGTGACAAGATACTTGGTGCCAGGTCCCATCCAGCCCCAGCCATCCTTGTCCTCCATCCTTCTGAGGAACAAACACAGTGATATCTACTGTGGGGGACTGATCCAGAGAAAGTGAAGAAACAGAATCCTAGGGCAGGGCTGATGGTTGGAATGAGGCTTCACAGGAGAGAGGGATGGTTGACTGAGTACACAGGGAATGATGGGACTGTCTGTCCAGCTCACTCAGCCCCAGGCAGTCAGCCAGACCTACAGTCCAAACAGGCCAGTAGACAGTCCACCCTGAAGAAAGAATGGCCAGGAAGAAAGTTCTAGAGAGACAGATGTTTGGTGGACCTGGTGGAGAGTGGCCTCCGCTGCAGAAAATTAGGGACGCCAGTGGGATTTCCCACTCTTCAACATGAACCCACAAAGGGTGTGGGCAGGGGACCTTGCAGAGAGGGGAAACCAAAATTGAGAATCAGGAACCGAAAGGCCGGCATGGTGGTGGCATATGCCTGCAGTCCCAGTGCTGGAGAAGCAGAGACAGGAAGATCAGGAGTTCAAGGCCAGCTTCAGTTACATAATGAGTTTGTGTCTAACCTAGGCTCCAAGAACCCCTGTCTGGAAGAAAAAGAAATCAGGAGCCTAGAGAGGTGGCTCAGTGGTTAAGAGCACCAGCTGCTCTTGCGGAGCAGACAGGTTCAGTTTCCAGGACCCACATGTAGCTAACGACTGTCTGTAACTCCAGCTCCAGGGGATCTGACACCCTCTTCTGGCCTCTGCAGGTACTTTATGCATATGGTGCACTTACACATATGCAGGCAAAACACTCATAAACATAAAATAAAAATAAATTTTAAAAATTTCCAAAAAACCCTAAGCTAGGAGAACAGGTTGCATCCCTTCAGCCCCTGTTCCCCCTACCTCCACTTAAGATGCACTCAATTGGGTTCCAGTGAGCAGGGAAGCTCCATCAGGGAAGGATGGATGATCTTCACACACACAGAGCACTAGGGGCTGTAACAGCTGGGAGACTGTTTTCTCTCCCACTTGTCCCTCTGCCCATAGGGAGGTATTTTCAGGGGATTCTCTGGTATTTTTTATTCTTGCAATAAAAAGTATCTGGGAGCTAGGTGGTACATGTCTTTGATTCCGGCACTTTGGAGGCAGAGGCAGGCAGATCTCTGTGAGATCAGGTCTGGCCTGGTCTACATAGGGAGTTAGTTCCAGGCCAGTTGGGGCCGCAGGGAGACTCTGTCTCAAACCCACCCCCCAAAGAAAAGTGAAAGAAAAGGAAGAAAATACCCAGAAATGGGGATACAGGGGAATCTGGAGGTGTTGGATGCCCCCCCACACTTGAGGGGCCAGGAAGCCATACACATGACCCCGCCTCCTTCCTGTGTCTCTGGTGGCCACTTAGAAGCCCCTGAACAACCACAATGAAGCTGGTAGGTCAGAAGCATCCATGCCAGGGAAGTGTCCACTAAAGTTCAGGCCAAGGCAGCCTCTGATAGAGGGGAACAGATGCACTGGGGTCCTGTTTGCACAGGGAGGCTGGGGACAGGTCCAGGTGAGACCTGTGGGAAAGGACTTGTCCCCTATCAGGATAGGAAGTCACAAAGAGTCAGGGATTCAGGGCCTGGGCCTGAGACTGTCCCATGGGGCACAAAGCAGTGCCCTATTGTATATGTGTGTGTATGTATACACATGTTATCTATGTACCACATATGCTGTCACACTGGCATGTATGGGGTACCCCCCCATCCCGTGTTCTGGCTCACTGACCTGCCAAGCTCATGCTCTAGTACTTTCTTTCAGGAGGTAAGGACAGGGCTGGACTCTGGCCACCTGGGTCCTGGTGCTCATGGAGGGGGCTCACCTGGGACTATAAACACCATAACCTCGACGGACTTATCAAATCCTTCAGTCCATGGTGTATCTAGCCCACACTCGTAGGTGTCTGCATCATTCAGGGTAAGGTGCTCCAAGGTCACCGTGAAGGTCAGGTTGGCTGGATGGTCCCTGATGGACACTCGGTCTTTCCTCACTTCTCCTGAGCTCTTGGTCTTCACAATCGTTGAACACAGTAACAATGATTTTCTGCACCAGTACTTGTTGTATGTCTTGTACTTCTCTTCGTACTGACACTGCACGCTCAGGGATCTCCCCACGATGCCTGTCACAGTCCCAGGGCCACTCAGAGGAACACAGCCTGGAAAATACAGGCCCCAATTCTGCACCCCCACACTGAAAAGGGGTCAGGGCTCCCTCTGGTCAGGTGTTCCAGGGCACTCAGGTCTGGAGGAGGCAGTGTGAAAGGAGACTGACTTTGTCAGACCCATGAGTCAGGACTGAGTGGTGAGAATCTCTGTCCTCCAGCAGTGGGAGCAGGGAGAGGGGGTGTCCCCAGAGGAAGGAAGGGCCCAGAAGGGAATAATACTGTATACACACATATGTCACTTTGCCTATGTGTAACATATGTGTACATCTTTGTGTATGGAATGTGTGCCTTGGTGTGTGTGTGTGTGTATGTGTGTGTGTTGGATGAAGCATCATTGAGATTGTGTAGCCATAGCAATGACCGTCATGGCTGACCCTCTCAATGGGCCCATGGAACCGCAACTGGGGAATTTCCTCTATCAGATTGGCCCGTGGCCATGTCTATGAGGCATTTTCTTGATTGTTGGGTGATATAGGAGGGGCCAGCCCACTGTGGGCGGTGCCACCCCTGGATAGGTTGTCCTAGATTGTATAAGAAAGCAGGCTGAGCACAGGCCAGAGGAGCAAGTCAGTAAGCAGCATTCCTTCACGTCCTGGCCTTCGGTTCCTGCCTCCAGATTCCTGCCCTGAGTTCCCGCCTGACTTTGCTCAAGTATGCTTGGAAGTGTAAGATGCAATAAATTCTTTCCTCCCCAAATTGGTTTGTGCAGTGTTTTATCACAGCAATAGCAAAACAAACAAATACAGGTCTTGACTCTGTCCCCGGTGCAGGTAGACATGCCTATGACGTGTGGCAGCGCATGTAAAGTAGATGCTGGCCACTCCTGGGCTCTGCTCCTCACCCTCATGCCCTCCCTCTAGGTCCCATCTGCCCCCACTGGCTGCTTTTTCCCCACCTCCCATCCTTCTCCTGCCCCTCTCCCACTCACAACAGAACTTCCCCTACCCAAGGCTGGTCCCACTCACCTGGGGCCTGTAGGAGCAACAAAGCTGTAGGCAGCCACGTGTCCATGACTCTTGGGATCATTTCTTCAGCACAGACGTCACCTGCATCCGCATGAAGCCCAAGAGAGGAGAAGCTGCAGCCTCCTCATCGAGAGTCGGATGCTCACTCTCTTAGTTCTGCTTCTCTGTCCTCTGCTTCCTGGTTCCTGTCTTCCATGTGATGCTCCAGCTGAGCGAGGGGCAGGAAGTGCAGAGAGAAAAGTGGCCTGGGCTCTTCAGATGCACAGGCCATAGGGATGTCAGTGCCTATCATTCCCAATGACCGGGCACATCCAAGGCCTGTGGATCAGGGACAGCACCCGTCCCCACAGCCCTCAGCTGAGGGTCTCCCAGTCCTCACACATACAGTGCAGCCCAGTGAGAGCATTTCCTTTGTGTTGAGGCTGCCCCATCCTTTATGATACACTACTTCCTTCCTGTCAGGATCCTGTGAGTGGGTCTCAGAGCTGTCCATCTTCTGTAGTCCCATCTCGATGACCACAGAGGAACTGTGCCCTCCCAGCATCCATCTTAGACACCCATAGAGTGCTCTGAGTCCATGGGGTCTCCACAGCTGATGCTGTGACCCCCTGACATCCTGATTAGTTTCCATCTTGTTGCTGAGTCCGCAGCTAGGGTGCAGACAACTCAGTCTTCCTCCTCCTCCTTCCTCTCCCTCCTCCTCTTCCAGCTCTTTTTTGGTTTGTTTGTTTGTTGCTTGTTTGATTGAAATAGGGTCCCTAGCCCAGGCTGGCCTCTATGTAGTTGAAGATGACCTTGAAATGACTCTCCTACCTCCCTGTCTCCAGTGCTAGGATTACAGGTGTGTGCCACCAGTGCTGGACATTGAACCCAGGGCTTCATGCATGCTAGGCAAGCACTCTAATAACTGAGCTATATCCTCAGCCCTTGCTTAAGACAGGATCTCACAAGGCAGCCTGGACTGAGCTGGAATGCACTATGTAGCTCAGGCTAACCTTGAACTTGCAACAATCCTCCTTTCTCAGCCTTGAGAGTACAGATGTAGTCACTCCACCTAGTCACCCTGTCTTCTTGTCCTTCCTGTTCCCATATCTAGACACGGACCAGTTGTCACTCATATTGGTAGAGTATTGGGTGGAAAAAGACCCTCTCAGATCTCTCCTCTCTGAGAACTCAGTTACCCAGCACTGGTTGTACATTTACCTCTGAGATCGGGGCGGGGGAAGCAGGAGAATGACTCCTGGAGCCCACAATCCACCTGACTGCAGAGGCACCTGCACCCCTCTAACCTGGGTCGACGTCTGAAGGCTATGGTGGGGGACATTTGCACTTGCTGATCCCTGGCTTGGGGCTTTTCTCTGGGCATCCACACTCACTCCGCTCGCTTTCAGTGCCTGTTAACGTGTGACACAGGGACTCCCTCATCTTATTTTCTCCATGGCATCTTTATGATGTCTGTGTATTTTGTCTGTGTCCACTGTTTCTTTATGCACAGCTGAACACCAGATAAAGAAGAGAGAAGAGCTGCTCTTGTTTACTGCTAGACTCCAGTGCCATGGTCACTGGTTGGTATTCAGTGAACCCTCACTGTGTGCCAACAGAATAGGTGGATGGGAGATCCGGAATCGGGCATCTGTAATGTAGGCATCTGCAGAACAGTGGAGCTGTCAGAAGTCTTTGGTGCTGGAAGGTTCATCATCATGCCCTTACAACTAAATGGTACCAGGCCAAAGACTCCCTTTGTACAAGCAGATACGGTCTAGTTCTTGGAAGTGCAAAACTGGATTAAAAAGCCATGTTCTTGGCTTGCAATTAATTCCCAAACTTTAGCCAGTTCAAAATCACATGGCCTTGGTCTGGTCTCCAGAAGGACAGAGAAAAAGAGAAGCTGCCAGAACTAACCTTAAATGCCCTTCTCCAAAGGAGGCTGACCCCACTGCCAGGGTGTCTCTGCCTGAGGAATGGAATAATCAGACTTTGGGGGCATATTCAACGCTGTTACGAACCAAGGGATACAACATGGTGCTTGGTCCCCGGGACTGAGCAGCGATTTATGGAGATCAATGGATGTGGGTTTTGACTCAGGTCTGTCCCATAGAGGACCCAGTATACCCGGCCTCTGTGTTATTTTCTGAACACAAGGCTTCATACTTAAACTCAGCACCCTCGCTCCTCCCAGACGTGAGAAACGTGGGTGGTAATGGGAGCAAAGATCAAGGTGACGGCACAGAAACACCTCGACTTGGCAAGTCAGTGAACCCAACACGAGGCCAGAACAACATGAGGCTCAGAAATGTTGGTGATGGCTGAGCTGGCAGGGGTAAGCACATGCTTAGGTTTGGACACGCTTCAAAGAGCTGTGCTTATGAACTTTCCCCCATCCATGTTGGCGTGTCAACTAGTGTCGTACGTGGGTCTTGTTTATGCAACCACATTGTTGGGATTTCATGGCTGCAGCTTCCCGGTCTTGTCTGGAGACACCGTCTAGCGGCACCATCCTGGTCCTCTGGCTCCTACAATCTTTCTGCCCTCTCTTCCCCAGTGTTCCATGAACCTTAGCTGTAGGGGTTACAGGACTATCAGTTGGGGCTGGGCGTCCCATAGTCACTTATTCTGTGCATTTTGAATACAGTACTCATGTATGAGGTTCTCAAAACAACAAGCTTTTTTAAAAAGCTGTCTTGGTTAGGTAAGATTTAGGTAGGCAAGGGACACACACAAGAAAAAAGTTATAAAGAAATTTATACACACTGTATTGCAACAGATGCTGGAGAGGGACGCAGGGTTCGTTCATTCAAAACAAACTAGTTTGCTAGTTCTGTTGTGATGAAACACTGAGCAAAACCAGTTTTGGGAGGAAAGGGTTTATTGCATCTTACACGTCCAAGCACGCCTAAGGGGAGTCAGGGCAGGAACTCAGGGCAGGAACCTGGAGGAGGGAACTAAAGCACAGACCACGAAATAACACTGCTTACCAGAGCGACTATGTCACTGGACAGGGCCGTGGCTCACAGGAGTCGCTAACAGTTCTCATAACTGTGGTAACTCTGCCTCCTAGCAGAGCTGCTCTGAGGCCTGTTCACCCATACGACAGCATTGAGCATGCTCAGGAGCAGGGATGCCAGGAAGAAGAGGAGCAGGAAGCGGACACTGCTGAGCAGGAGTCACCTCCCCCAGACAGAAGCCTTGTCATTTTGTATGTCCCTCATGCCCACATTCTGTGATTACAACGATCCTCGTCTTACCCAAGATAGATCAGCCATGTTCTTATGACCTGTGCCCCTGATGGTCAGCCTAGGAATTGACCTTGACCTAATGACAGTGGTTATAGGAAGGGCATGGCCATGAGGAAAAAATGAGGAGAGCCCAGGCATCCAGGGGGACCCCGTGTCTGGGGAAGAATTCACATCAGCCCTCTTCATTTGAGGGTTACCCCTGGCCATGTCCATCTGGTCATGGACTCTAGAACATGGTGATGTCGTTGCTGAACACTGTTCATAAAATACAGCATCTATTTAAACACAGAGACTGTTAGATTTTTCACAGAGAGTGTCTGGGGCCACCCAAGGTCTTTAAAATTCTTGGCTTGAAGCTGGGTATGGGCGGTACATGCCAATTAATCCCAGTCAAGAGGCAGAGGCAGGCAGATCTCTGTAAGTTCAAGGCTACATAGCGAGTTCCAGGCCAGCTGGGGCTACAGGGAGACCCTGTCTCAAAAAAGAAGTTCTTTAATGATAAGAATGAGGACCTGGTTCAGGGTTCACATGCCTCGCAAGACTAGGTCTGTGTAATAGGCCGACACTTGTGATCAAGGCTTGTCTGCAGGGAGGACAGTGTCAGAGTTACCCTCTGTTCCCTTGCTCAGAACTGAGGACTCTGGGACAAGGCATCTGTACTCTCTCCTATCTCAGCCTGGACCACTTTCTCCACCCGACCCCTAGCTGGGGGCTGGCTCCCCCAGTTCTGCAGCTTCTACTCCCATGGCCTCCAATCGGTAACACTTTGTCTGATCATCATGTCGAAAGTCACACTGCCCCTCCATCCCACACTCTCTCCAACTCCTGTGATGACCATTTCCCCAGCAATCATCTACACTTGGCAAATTTGATGACTTCTGTGTGGCTTGTTCGCTGTGTGAACCACCAGAAAAACAAAGGCTGTGCCCAGCAGAACCATGTCTGGGTGACCACTGCAGTGTCCTAATCCCAGGAAGGACATCTGGGTCTCAGTAAGACCTTCTTGAGATTAATGACTACAAGAGGATCCCAGAGGAGAGAAACCCAAACCAGCTATGTCTATACACAATGCAGCCTCCCACCCAGAGGCACAGTGTCTTACTAAGGCTGTGGCCTGGGATCAAGAGTGTTCTCTCCAGATGTGGACAGCCGGGTGTATATTGTCAGAGACACAGAAGTCCCTGAGTATTTGTGGTGTTCTCATCCCTGAAGGCTGTGATCAGGGCTGAGGGTAGAATGCAAGTCGGGCTCAGTGACCTTAGCTTAGTCTCCCAGTCACCATCAGCCCTGTAGCTCTGATTGGCTTATTCAGGGCGTGTGGAACAGATATCCTGAGTCCGACATATCTAGGCCTGATACCTCCCCAGCCTCACCACCAGCAGTTCCAGGGCAAGTGGGCACTTTTAGATGTAAGAACCGGCTTCCAGGGCCAGCAAGATGCTTCAATGGGTTAAATGCTTTCCATGCAGGCCTGGCAGCCTGATCCGCAGAACCCACAGAGGAAGGAGAGAATCAGCTCCCAAAAAGTTGTCTCTGACCTCCACACACATTATGGCAGGCATGCATCTACACTCACACAATACACATACACATACACAATAATAATAATAATAATATTTTAAAGAAAGAATTCACCTCCGAAAGAGGGAGATGAAGGGTTTTTGGAAAGACACTGGGAGCCCAGCTCAAGGCCCACTCACACCATCACCTGTGTTGATGTTTCTGTCCACATTGACGCAGAGAAATTGGAGAAGCAGGGCCCTGGGGGAAGCTGATGGCTGTAGCGAGGCTTCAGGAAAGAGAAGGATGGTCAGTGGGCTCCACACTTAGTGATGGAAAGCTATGTCCATCCAGCCTCCTCGGCCTCCACACCATCAGCCAGGCCTATGGCCCCAAACACTGGACAGTCTCTGTAGGGATGGGAATAGCCAGTAAGAACAATCTAGAGCCATGTTTGCTTGGTGGACTCTGTGGAGATGGGTCTTCCATGGAGCGGGCTGGACACAGACTCCCTCTTTACACACCCACTGGCATCTGAGTTTTCGTTCCCCACACTTCAGTATGAAAACCACAGAGAGCACAAGAGGGAAATCACACAGCATCGGGTGGGACACACAGAG